TCATATTATTCCTGGAGTCTGTATCTGGAACATAAAGAAGGAAAATCTACTTATAGCCTTAATGACCTTGACCATATTGGTCTGAAAAATCTATTTTTAGCCTTACTGACCTTGACCATATTGATCTAAAACATTCTACTTTTTAGACCATTTTAGTCTAAAACATCTATTTTTAGCCTTACTGACCTTTACCATATTAATCTAAAACATCTACTTTTTAGACCATTTTAGTCTAAAACATCTATTTTTAGCCTTAACATTCACGATCATATTGAACTAAAACATCTATTTTTAGTCTAAATGACCTTGATCCTGTTAGTCTGAAACTCTCTCTACGGGTAAAAGTCCATGAGAGGTAGGATATCACATCAAATACCTCCAATTTCAGTTAATATGACGTCATTGCGATATGAGAAAGTGTCAGTACCCTGATAAAATTACTTGAAACTAAGTTGAAAGTTGTTTGGAAGCTTTACTTGAACGGCATCAAACTGGCATGATATCATCTCACTACCCATGTTGTGATATTGCAGCAAAACATTGATTTACTATAAATTCTTTATAACCCCTTCTAGCTGATCTTACTAATTATCTCGTCAGGTTTCATGCTGTAAGCAAATTGTGAAACACTTTTAGTCAGGCAATAATAAAATTAGATATATTAGAACACGAGTAAGTCAGACATCATGAACGAGCATTGCAAGATGCTTTTAATTAGCAACAACAGTAAAATAAAACAAAAGTTATTGAGACAGCATTTTCTTATCATTTATACAAATCTTTTTCCTGGCTTTTAATTAATTCCCTCATCTGAATACTGCATCTCAACAATAAATGTGTTCATATTAAAATATGGTGTTGTGCTGAAGGAATTCAAATTAAAATAACAACATGAGGGCCATGATGGTCCTAGATTGCTCACCAAGGGTCCATTGCTAGAAAAATGGTTTTTCCAATGCAAACGTAGATCAATTGTCAAATTTTGATTTCACACTCTAACCAATGGTTCAAACTGAAGCAAAAACAAGTTTGAAAGTAGCTTCATTGTCATCATACGCATGTGAGTTTAAAACAAGCCATCTATAATGGAATAAAGAGTCAAATAAGACTAAATGAATATACATGCAGAGTTATCTGGCTCTAGTCTGAGGACAACATGCAAGTCTTACTGCTCCTTGCATTAATCATTATGATGACATAAAAACAAATCTATGTAAAGAGCCTATAATTGTGAATTTGAACGTTAGTGGTGAAGGAAGACCCCATATAACTTTCTTTGCATTATTTAGGAAATATTTGAGCTCACATTCAAATATCTCTTAATCTAGCTGTATTATAAATTTCTCACATGAAATCATCATATACTCCCTGAATGTAATCAAATGAACACTTTAAGGTAACAGATTCAAAACCAGAGACCTTTAACCATTAGTCATTGACCTTTAACCATTAGACATTGACTTTTAACCATTAGTCATTGACCTTTAACCATTAGTCATTAACCTTTAACCATTAATCATTGACCTTTAACCATTAGTCATTGACCTTTAACCATTAGTCATTGACCTTTAACCATAAGTCATTGACCTTTAATCATTAGTCATTGACCTTTAACCATTAGTCATTGACCTTTAACCATTAGTCATTAACCTTTAACCATTAGTCATTGACCTTTAACCATTAGTCTTTGACCTTTAATCATAAGTCATTGACCTTTAACCATTAGTTATTGACCTTTAACCATTAGTAATTGATCTTTAACCATTAGCCATTGACCTTTAACCATTAGTCACTGATCTTTAACCATTAGTGACATTGACCTTTAACCATATGTTATTGAGCTTTAACCATTAGTGTTTGACCTTTGACCATTGGCAATTGACCTTTACCATTAGTCATTGACCTAGTCATTGACCTTTAGCCATTAGTCATTGACCTTTAACCATTAGCCATTGGCCTTTAATCATTAGTCATTGATCTTTAACCATTCGTCATTGACCTTTAACCATTAGTCTTTGATCTTTAATCATTAGTCTTTGACCTTTAACCATAAGTCATTGACTTTTAATCATTAGTCATTGACCTTTAAACCATTAGTCATTAATCTTTAACCATTAGTTGTTGACCTTTAACCATAAGGTATTGACCATTAACCATAAGTCATTGACCTTTCACCATTAGTCATTGACCTTTAACCATTAGTCATTTCACCATTCAACCTCTTAAATAAATAAAAAATATTTATCTCTCCTAATCTGGTTAGACTGCTCAGTTATAAAGAATGTTTTCTTTTATTTTCATATTTAAAAAATTAATATAAACATTGTCTTCTTTTAAGATTCAAAGCAACTGACATATGAAAGTAATTACAGTTAATGTTTTTTTAAAAAGAAAATGATAATTTGGCCCATGTTAACAAAATCTGAAACATATGAACCACTCACAGCTTATTATAGAGCAGATTAGGTACATTATTCTCTATCTAATGATAATTTTGAAGCCTTTGTTAAAGGTAGGTTGTAAATTGCATAGAAAATGATCAAGACTTAAAGAAATATTTCAGTATACATGAATATTTATTTGTACAGAAAGCAAACATTCAGTTTTTTTCAGGATGTAGTGAAAGAAATATCTTTTTATTCTGGAAAATTAAAACCCATTCCAGCAGTTTCCATGTGACTGGAACAGTGTTGGTGTCACTTAAAACCCATTTTAGCATTCCAAGTTTGACATAATTTAGCGTGTCCCTAACACCCCTTCCATCATTCCCAGTTTAACCTTAATGTGTTGGTGTGACTTAAAACCCATTCCAGCTATCCCTATTTGGCTTTTACAGTTAAAACCCATTTTACCAGTTCCTAATTAAGTGACCAAAACAATTTTGGTATAACCAAACATTTCAAACCCATTCCATCTGTGTGACTCTTTTAATGTCAATATCACTAAAAACATTCTAGTGGTCACTGTGAGAGTTCCTTTACACATGTGTACTATTAATCAACCCATACTTAGGTGGTGCCCATATAACTATTACAGTCACTTAGCATACAGGATTGTGACCTTGAACACTGAAGGGCAGCTGTTATTTTGATAAAAACATACCTAAAAATGCTATATTAAAAGAAGTAATATGCTATGGTACATGCGAATGCATTGTTGTCTTATATTACCATATTTCATTTGGCTCCGAATTCTCATAGCTCATTCTTTAGCAAATAGTAAGTATAAACTATACCCATGAATAAATTGTAGCCAAAAAAGTATCATATCTTCAGGCTATGCATCAGCCAACAAAACATTATATCTTAAGACATGAATTAGGAAATAAAACATTTTCTGCTACAACAGATTCATTAACATACCTCTTTAAAACATGGTATTTTCTCATCATGCAGTCAGAAATAAAGACTAATTTCAATAATTGAATGTCAGTCCAAATGACAAAACTAAAAGAATTTTTGGCACATAAAATAGATAAAACCTAACTCAATTTACTTCTTTATTCTCTTTGTTGAAGATAAAGAAGGCTTTGTGTGCATTAAACAAATTGTAATGTTTCTGTTCTGTTCTATTGTGTATAATGTAACACCTGTTTTCAATCATATCTACCTTTAATCTTGTATAATCTTAGATTCTTAGACTTTCTTACTGCAGTTCAAAACCTGTTAGCTGCTTTTACAATACATGTGTAAATCACATGAGTCAAATAAGCCTCTTTCTGCTGCTGGTACAAAGTGACTGGCCATCCATGCAGTACGACAAGGCTCTATACTTCTGTACAGACTCAAGGCCAACAATTGTTAAATTTTCGTCAAGATATCCCCCCAAAATTTATAATGGTCATTTCAAAACTGGAGGCTGGATTGTGAAGTTCACTCAGGAAATTCAGAAGTATAAGGGTTTAAGGACAACAAGAATAAATGGCAACACCTGCAACAAGTGCTTTTTGATGTTGCTTTCACAAAGCTTAAACCATTGTCTTAATTACTGGAAAAACTAGACCATAATCACCTTACCTCAAAGGGAGTCATCATCTAGTCATGACCAACCTCTACACCAAATCTTAGAATTGTAGTCCACACCAAATCTCAGGACTCTAAACTTACATTGTCTAGCTTTTGGTCAGACATTAAGCTTCTAATTGACCTTGACTTTTTACCTTAAAATCAATAAGAGCTACCTACTGGCCATGGGCAATGTCCCTATCAAGTTGCATAAACTTAAGCCTACATATATTCCTTGTCAAGTTATTGAATGGACAAGGAACTTAGGTATGTAATTGTACCACAGACATATCCTGTCACAGTTTGCTCTCACTTTTATAGAGAGTGCAAAGAAATGATAAGACAGAATAACTGCAGCATGGAAGTATGAAAGAAGAATCTCAAAAACTATATTCTCAATAATTATCTGCTGGATATATTCTGGGAGGAACCTAAAATTTCTTTATATAAACTTTTCTGTAGTAACCTAATATGTCTTCAACAATTAACTTCATTTTGTGAATTTCTGTAAAAAATGCAGAATTACAAAGCCTACAATATCAGTTATAAAAAAAAATCAAGCTAATTACATGTAAGATTATACAGCTACTACAACTACTAATTATTTCCACAGACACAAATACTGTTTTACAAAATCGAGTTCCTAAGAAGCCATTGATTTGTTTTAAGACTTTATATAGCAGCTTGCTTAGAAAGCAAAAATAGAAATACATGTACATTTTAAAATTAGATAATTATCAATTGTTCCTATGTGTGTTATGTCAGCATAAAATTTCTTACTCAAGATATAAATTACAGAATGCACAATTAACCAAAACTGCAACGAGAATTTAAATCATTAAAGTAATAACCTTAGGGTGGGTAATCTTATAAATAAAACCTTAAAACTTACTAGCATCATAAATCAAATTACAATAGTAAAAGAAATATTCTTAAAAGACAAAACATGGGTTTGTAGACAGATACAAACATGAAACAACTAAAGACAATACTCACATATAAATTTTGGAAATTTGGTCAGTGCGCCAAGCTGCTTGCGGTCATTCTCATAGCCTGTGAGACAATGGGATATGAGACCAGTGATGCGTTCATGTCAATGTTCTGCGCCAAGCTCTGATTATTGGACGGTTGAAGCCCAGACAGGGTCTGTGGTAAGGATACTGGCACAATTGACGGCGGGTTCAAAGAAAGGGTGGCCGTGTTGAGCGTGGGCGGAGCAGCTATACTACACTGCGCCTGACCCCCGGTCAATTCACGCACCATTCGCTGTTGCAAGGCCTGCTGTTGCTGCTGAGTAATGGTAGTTAAGTCACTATTTAGAGCAATTTGCTGCGCGAGGCTTGTATTTAGAGGATTTAAAGTCGAAGCCTGAATTGCCGCCTGTACACCGGCAGCGTTTAGAGTCTGTATTATGTTACTTTTACTCACACGATATCTAGCATTTTGTTCCAGGAGCACCTCGTTAGTAGCAGTCAAATCTGCCACTTGCTTTTTTAACTCTTCAACTTTTTTACGCAGCATTGAATTTTCATCTTCTAATAACTGATAACTTAATGGTTTGGAATTTGGAGACAGAGGTGGGTAACGATTTTCAAATGTTCTAAATCCATCGGAAGGATAATCCGGGTCAATTCTCCTTCGTTTAATATCCTGCTCAAACTCATATCTTTCTATCGGGTGTTCCTTTCTGTACAGTTCATTACGTCCCTCTGATTTCCTTTGCAAGAATTCATATTCAGCACTTGATATGTGACGATATTTACATCCTGCCCCACGATGACAATCACCTTTCAAATTATCCTTACATATAGGTACACCACCTTTTGCAACCATTTCCGCATGATTAACTCCAATTCCTAATGCAGCTGCCTGCATAACACGTGAAGGTAAATCACCAGTTTGCCTCGCTTGTTCCTCTTCTTCACGTGTACAGTGAAGGAACTTACAGTTTGCTCGTCGGCATCCATTATTTTGAAAATCGTGACAGAATGTATATTCCGATATTTTCTTAAATTCACTAGTTTCTTGCTCACCTGGATGACGATATTTGCATCGCTTTCCACGCCTGCATACATTACGCAGAAAATCGCGGCATATGTCATTATTATTCCCACTATCGCTTCCGCTTTCACTATGGTCAGACATTTTCTCGCTACTTTCTGACATTGTTTTTTTTATTTTCTTTTTTGTAAATCACTTAAGCTGCATGTTTTTTTTTCTTTATTGTTAAAATCACTTAAGCTGCATTACGCGCTTTTGGGGAACACAAGTATAACACACAAATATCAAATGTATATGAATATAGACTGTTAGTACAAAATAAAGTCAGCAGCTCTGGTCATGTGATCAACTCCTCATAGACTGGCTTACAATCTGCAAAGAAAATATACTTATTTTATATATTATTCTTAAATAAATCAGTCAGCAAACCATTCTGTGTGACTTTTCATATTCTCTAATTTATTCCTAATTAAAACTGCTGCTTCTATATTTAATTTACGACTTTAAATTTTTGCATGAAAATGAAGTGACATTGTGTCTTACATCCTCTAAAGATTATGACATTTTATTTTGAAATTTCAACAAATCTGACAAAAAAAAGAGAACATCATTTATTCACTGTTTGTTCATTTTGTTTACTTTATGTCTCATTGCAAAATTATGCACGTAAATATGACATATAAAACTATTTTTTATTTTCACGATACCATTTTGTTTACTTTCTCATTTGCTCATTAACAGAGTAAGTTAAATCATGCTCTACGCTGTCCTAAGATTCAAGGAAGTTTTGAGGGTTCATTTTATCACTCACACATAAAATTATTATTGTTGTTTATGTACAAAATACTATCATATCTTGTTCTATATGTAAACACTGTCATATCTTGTTCTATATGTAAAACACTGTCATATCTTGTTCTATATGTAAACACTATCATAACTGTTCTATATGTAAAACACTGTCATATCTTGTTCTAATTATGTAAACACTGTCATATCTTGTTCTATATGTAAAACACTGTCATATCTTGTTCTATATGTAAAACACTGTCATATCTTGTTCTATATGTAAAACACTGTCATATCTTGTTCTATATGTAAACACTATCATATCTTGTTCTATATGTAAACACTGTCATATCTTGTTCTATATGTAAACACTGTCATATCTTGTTCTATATGTAAAACACTGTCATATCTTGTTCTATATGTAAAACACTGTCATATCTTGTTCTATATGTTAAACACTGTCATATCTTGTTCTATATGTAAACACTATCATATCTTGTTCTCTATGTAAACACTGTCATATCAGAAATTGTTCTATATGTAAACACTATCATATCTTGTTCTATATGTAAAACACTGTCATATCTTGTTCTATATGTAAACACTATCATATCTTGTTCTCTATGTAAACACTGTCATATCTTGTTCTATATGTAAACACTATCATATCTTGTTCTATATGTAAAACACTGTCATATCTTGTTCTATATGTAAACACATTTAAAAATTGTCTTATTATGTTGTGCTTAACATAGTCTACAGGTACAAATCTAATATTAAAATGCCATGGAAGACAAATAAAAAATCAAACCATAAACAAACATGCTTTAATCATAAAATCACCATATATTGTAACATGTAACTATAACTGCCAACATGAGAGATTTTAAATCTCTTTTTCACATTGACATAGTAAACATTTTGTTTTATACATAATACATGAATAATTTCCACCTTGGATATAATTCAACATTAAAAATTAATTATGCTTAACTAAAATTAATAGAGAAGTTACGAATCTTACAAATTTTATTCATTTTTCATAATTATAATCACATTATGTACTCTTGTAATCTTTTATAACAATCAGAATAATATGAATTGTTTTGTGACAGAAATAAAGAGCTGTTTTCAGATGAAATATATATCTTCATTTATTCAATTAATACTCCCAAATATTATATTACTGTTGTTGTTTTTTTCATTCTATACTTCAAAGAAATCATTAATACATGAAGTTTTTTAGACTTTAAGTATAAAGTTTGATTTTCTTTTCTCGATCTAACTAATAGTACAGAGTAATTGATGTACAATGTTTTAAAGTCATTACTGGGTTATAATAACCTGATTAAAATCTTTGAAAAATAAAGAAAATGGAACCAAGACAAAAGTTTTTTTATTTACAGAAATAACAGAGAAAATTTATGTTTAATGTCATAATTAATAGACATAATTATCCATCTGAACTTTAACACTGGTAAATTTTGAATTTCAAGCTGTCCACTTCAAACTGCTGTATTATTCATGGTGGCTATATTAGAGTCTGGTTTAAATGTTTACAGTTTTGGGGCTTAAATAAGCTTAAACTGCATAAATAAAGAGACACATAAAGGAATGTTAAAGATCATGTCCAACAATTGGCTAAATGTTGCAGGCTGCTTATTTTCATAATTTCGTGTAATTTCATGTTTCAATTATTGCAAAAAAATTGTGTTGTTTCCCAGCAGCCTATATAAATAATTTAACAGGAAGCATGATGACAATTGTGCTGGATTATTCATAATTACATGACAGGTGTTCTACCCTTACATAAAATATTCATGATTTAAAACCTAAGTATAAAGTTTCCAATAATTTTTCATAGGAAAAACCTCATACAACTATAAATTGTATCCCACAAAAGTCATTTACTTAAAAGAAAAAAACCTAACTACAAACCTATCTTTGATAGTTAAAATTATCTATTTCTTTATGATAATAATTATCTACCTATATCAACTTCAATATCATAATTTGTTGGGTTTTTTCCCCCACTAAACATACACTTTAAGTATCATGATAATAATATAATTCCAATAGTTTAAGGGTGATGAAATCAGGTAAGTTTATTTAATCCAGGAAACTTAGAACTGAGGAAGATCCTGATAATTAAATATTAGACTGTATTATAGGATATTATAGGATATAATTTTCCTAATAACCACAGGTGAAACCTAAAGTAATTAGATTTTACTACCATGTAGTATACTCTGACTCAGGCAGGCCAGCTTGCACCTCCATATAGTCTGACAATATAATCTGACTATAATTATATTGTTGGCTGACCTCAAGTTTTGTATTTTTGTTGTTTAAATCATAATAAAATTTGTCAGCAGGAAATATTCAATTAGCAAATAAAGGGTTAATTAGCATCTGGTTTAAATTTATTTGATTCTTTAAGGTCACAGAATCCCCGATAGTTCCCTGGTACATACATTGATAAACTTAATCACATAATATTAAATGTATAAAACATAGACAAAACATGTTTTTAACAATTCCAGCAACAACCCACATCTTAGATAGCCAAAATAACCTTTAATGATAACCTATTTTAATGATTTAATATTTTTTCCTTTTCCACTTAGAAAGTATATTTGTATCGTAATGATGAAATTATTCCAAGGATTTAAAGGTGATGAAATCATATAATAAGTTATCTAATCTAGAAGAAAGATTCTGTGCTGCTAATTAAATACAAAGTATATTCCTTTTTTTTCTGTACAGTTTATTTATGAAGTGATGGTATTAGGGTGGAGTGTTAAAATTGGGGGGTGGGCGATGAGAGAAGAGTAAAAATCATAATTTTCATTCCTACAGAATAATTATCTCAGTATATTAAAGGCTAAAAATTCTTTCAGCAAACAGAAACATGTGTTTTTCATTTAATACTATATCATTAGCATCCACATTTTACCTGTAATTACATCTGTACATTTGTAATTGGTTCACTTACAAATCTAGTAAAACATTACCGTTTCTTGTATGACTGAATTTATATAAAATCTTTATAAAATGACCTGAATGAATCTTCATACAAATGACCTGACCAAATCTCTATAAATTGTATTAAAATAACCTTACTGAACCTTCATAGAATTTTGGTGAGAGTCAATCAAAGCTACAGTTTGACATGGAAGAAACAACAGTAAGAAATTATGCTCATGCACAATGCTACATTTATATAATGGACTTCATAATCCTGTTTAAATCACAATAAGGAGAGACCCATACTAATGCCATATAGGCTGTTCATTATTGTTGTGATCAAGGTTTTCTTTCCTATAATTATTAGATTCCTTATTTCATCACAGGAATATTTCAACTTTATTTTTGCTTTAAATTCTGCCTAATGCATTTGATAATAATTATAAATTGAAAGGTTTTTTTTTTTTTTTTTACAAATATATATATAATTTATACATGTGCAAGAATTAACAGGAAACCATCCATCAAAAATGCTGGGATATTTGTCACATATACGTCATGATGACTGTGGCAAAACAATAAAGAAAACATGAATACCAATTTAGAATAGCTATATGAATAATAAAAATTTTATGTCAATTCAGTTTATGCATTTCTAAATAAATGTTGAGTACTGAAGAAAAATATATAATCAATGACTGAGATGTCTAAGCTCCATAATAACATTACTTGAAACATGACCTATTAACAATGAGGAAAAATACGAAAATATATATTTAGTAATAGTGACCTTGACCCAAATAAAGTCAAGAAATGAAAGTATAAACCAAAATCTGCATGCTACATCAATATTTTGGAAAATTAAGTACTGACAAAAACTTGAGCAGTTGGTGTGACAATGTGCTTGACAATTTTCTGTGTGTGTCTTAATATTAAATGTAGAATTTGCTAAGTTCAAAAAGTCAGTCATATAAATTCTGTCAAAATCCCTAGTTGAGCTATTATTTGTGCCTCAGAACGTGACCTCCTACTATGCTCTCATTAAAGCATTGTGTAAAGTTTCAACCCATTCCCTTTAGTAGTTTTAAAGATATCAACTTGCACCAAAGTGAGACAGTCTAAAGATGCACATGCCTGGGCAAGAAGTAGCTTTCTCTATTCTTCAAATAATCAAGCTGGTCAAATTAGACAATTTATTATAGGCTTTTAAGGTGCTGTATCATAGTAACTTGATTTGATTTATTCAATATGAAACACTTAATTTGCGTACATATTAAATGTTCCCTAAAACCTAATATACAACTAGCCTAAGACTTACGCATATTTTGAATTTTTAAACAAAATAAAATCTATAAGCGAGTTGAGTAACAGTGAAATAACAAAATAGAAATATAATACAATCTTCATGTATTGTGTACATCTTTTTCAAACTTTACATTTTGTTGTTTCCTGTCATGAAACTTCACACTTTTGACAGCCCTCCATCAATTTGACAGAAGGAAAACAGTGTTGGTGTCCTAATTTAAATGTTGATCACAATTTGCTAAAATGAAAATTAAAAACAAACAATTTATAATGATTTTATTTCATTTCAACAACATTATAAAACGCATGTT